CTCCTTTCTTTGTCCCTCTTCACTGGGCAGATTGGTAGCAGCTGTGAAAAAGCTGAAGTTAAAGAGAGGATGGCTTCTACAAATGGATAATGATCCTAAACACACCTCGAAATCCACGGGGGATTACATCAAGAGGCGTAAACTGAAGGTTTTGCCATGGCCTTCACAATCTCCTGACCTCAACATAATTGAAAATCTATGGATAGACCTTAAAAGAGCAGTGCGTGACAGACAGCCCAGAAATCTCAAAGAACTGGAAGACTTTTGTAATGAAGAATGGGCAAAGATACCTCAAACAAGAATTGAAAGACTCTTGGCTGGCTACAAAAAGCGTTTACAAGCTGTGATACTTGCCAAAGGGGGCAGTACAAGATATTAACTCTGCAGGGTGCCCAAACTTTTGCAGACGCCATTTTTTTGTTTTTTCTGTTATTTTGAAAGTGTAAATGATAGAAATAAAATCTAACTTTTGTTGACATATTATAAGAATGTCTAATCTGTAATTTGATGCCTTTTGGAGATTTTTCCATCTTTCCTTGGCTTCTTTATGCACAATAATACAAATTTTTAGCTGGGGTGCCCAAACCTTCGATCCCCACTGTATATAGTGTGTGTGTGTATATGTATGTGTGATTTTGCATTTCCGGGTAGAGGACGTGCGCCCCTACCCTCGCCACTATTCGCAGCCTCGGCTGTCAATCACCGGGTCCCGATCAGTGATTACTTGCCAGCACCCATTGATTGTCGAGCATTACTGACTGGGGAGAGAACTGTATTGTATGTAAACAATACAGTTCTCTCCCCTGTCAGCTCCTGTACACTGCTTTGTATGGCTCTACATAGCAGAGCAATACAAAGCAGTGTGCTTACAGTGGAAAGCACACACACAGTTTACAGTGAAACAGCACACAGTTAACCCTTTGATTGCCCCAGATGTTAACCCCTTCCTGCCCAGTGTCATTAGGACAGTGTCAGTGCATTTATTAGTACTGATCACTGTATTGGTGTCACTGGGAATGTCCATGACATCACGTCAGTTCCCCCCAGTGTCAGAATGTCTCCCGCAGACCCTCTATAAGTTGCTGATCGCCGCCATCACTAGTAAGAAAAAAACAAATCTCAATGTATATATACCGCCATTTGTAAACGCTATAACTTTTATGTAAACCAATTAATTTGCACTTATTGGAATTTATTTTAGCAAAGACATTTTGGCCTAAACTTATGATGAAATTTGATTTTTTTTTCAAACATTTTTTTACTAGACATGTTTCATAGCAAAAAAGTTTTTTTCCTCCAAATTGTCTGTGTTTTTTTTTTTTTTTTTTTTTATAGCGCAAAAAATAAAAAACGCACAGGCGATCAAATACCACCGAAAGAAAGCTCTATTAATGGGGGAAAATGTAATTTGGGTGCAGCGTTGCATGACTGCGCAATTGTCAGTTACAGTAACCCAAAAAATAGCCTGGTCAGGAAGGGGGGTAAATCCTCTGGAGGGCAAGTGGTTATGGTTTGTGTGCAGAGAGGTAATGGACATACAAACTGCAGCAACATTTCATTTTTTTTATCTTGAAAGTTTTTTTTTTTTCTGTTTTGTTTTTTTGTCCTCCAGACAAACTGCTAAAGATGATTTGTATCTGTCGGGTGCAGAAGTTTATGCAGCCCTGCCAGACAGTGGAGTTAGGTTGTGTTGACATTCATGTACTACAACATAGCCATACAGCTTTGTCACCTCTCCACTGCAAGCCTGTGATTGGACAGAGGAAGGGCAACGGTAGGCCGATGAGTTCATCTCTTTGTTCTCGCCTTCTGTCAGCAAGATCCTTTGTCGGCACACTCCTGATTGGCCACTAATGCTACCCCTCACTTTCCCAGCCTGTGATCTACTGTACAGGGGTTTGCAGGAGGATGGTGCCAAGTAAAATGCCAGTACTTTTACTAGTATTTATAACATATTTTAATTACTTTTGATTATAACATAACTGCATTATTTGGTGTTTTTATATCTGCGTTCAAGTTTCTAGAAGAGAGATTGGAAACCTGTGAACCATAAGTTGTCCACAGATGGATCGAAGTTCAGCATGGACCAGCAGAATTTTGATCCATCTACTGTATGGGCTGGCTGGTGGTGGTATAGAAGTCGTCACTCGATTGACTTCTGTACCACCAGCCTGTTGTGTTTTATTTGCTCGATCAGTGACACGGGCAACACTGATCATTGTATTCTGACAGTGGGAAAGTCTCCCCACTGTCAGAATAAAACTGGCTTCATGAGAGCGAATCCCCCATCAACACAAACTGTATTAACAGGGGAATCCAGTTATTTTTTTTCGTTCAGCCTGCTAGTTGATTGAAAAAAAAAAGCATAATTTACGGCCATGCATAATTACCACTGCAGCGCTGTCTCCATGCTCCATAAAGAATATTTTCAGATGAATGGTTCTGACCAATCGGATGCTGTCTAGCCCCTACTGTCATCGCTGCAAGGAGAGGAGAGGAACTCACAGAGATTTCAAATCTTCAGACCTGTGAAGCTGCTTTCTCTCCTCTCTATGCAGGGATGTCAGTATGGGCTAGACGCCATCTGATTGGTCAGCATCGTTCAGGTAACGGTGCTGACCAATCAAAATCTCTCTAGCCCGAATTGTCATACCTGCAAGGAGAGGAGAGAAAGCAGCTTCACAGGTCTGAAGATTTGAAATCTCCGCGGCTTCCTCTCCTCTCCTACCATCTGCCACCATAGTATACATCCCCACACGCCCACTCTCCCATTCTCCACTGTGGGAAATCTCCCCGCTCCAGTGTGAACTCAGGATACGACTGCCTGGGTTCACACATGAGCAGTGGGGAAACCACATGCGATTTGGACAGGAATCGCATTCCTGTTCAAATTGCATGCTATTCTTTGCAGTGCAATTTGCGTCCCTTACATTTTGTATGGACGCCAGTGGCATAGCAAAGTATCGGTAGCGAATCGAACCTGGCGAAGATGAGCGAATCGAACCTGGCGAAGATGAGCGAATCGAACCTGGCGAAGTGGAATTTGTTTCGAATATTAGGAAAAATTCGATTCGCGCCGAATCCGAATATTAGCAAACTTCGGATGCACGAATCGAATTTTCCCCGATCGGCCGATTTTCATCCCTTCTACAGCCGGCAAAAAGTGTCCCTGCAGAGAGCTCCGCTATTTCTGACAGTTCTCTGACAGTTCCTTCACATTTACAGCGGTTGAAACATTGTATCTATTTGTTTCAATTTAGGATACAGATGTTTTTATTCGGAAACAAAATAGATACAATGTTTCAACCGCTGTAAATGTGAAGGAACTGTCAGAGAACTATCAGAAATAGCGGAGCTCTCTGCAGATACACTTTTTGCTGGACTGGAATTCTTCTTATTTTCATCCTACTTCTTCTTCTTCTTCTTCATCTCCTCTTCATTCATCCTCATCCTCTTCCTCTTCTTCTTCTTCTTCTTCTCTTCATCCTCATCCTCTTCCTCTTCTTCTTCTTCTTCATCCTCATCCTCTCTCTCTTCATCCTCATCCTTCTTCATCTTCATCTCTCTTCTTCTTCTCATCCTCATCTCTTCTTCTTCTCATCATCCTCATCCTCATTCTTCTTCATCCTCATCTTCTTCTTCTTCATCCTCATCTTCTTCTCTTCTTCTTCTTCTTCTTCTTCTTCTTCTTCTCATCCTCCTCTCTTCTTCTTCTTCTTCTTCATCATCCTCATCCTCCTCCTCTTCTTCTTCTTCTTCTTCTTCTTCTCACCATCATCCTCTTCTTCTTCTTCTCCTCACCATCCTCTCCTCTTCTTCTTCTTCATCCTCATCCTCCTCTTCTTCTTCTTCTTCATCATCCTCATCCTCCTCTTCTTCTTCTTCTTCTTCTTCTTCCTCATCCATCATCCTCTTCTTTCTTCTTCTCACCATCATCCTCTCTTCTTCTTCATCCTCATCTTCTTCATTCATTCTCTCTTCTTCATCCTCATCCTCTTCTTCTTCCTCATCATCCTCTTCTTCTTCTCTCCTCTTCTTCTTCTTCTTCTTCTTCTTCTCTTCTTCTTCTTCTCTCATCCTCCTCTTCTTCTTCTTCTTCATCATCCTCATCCTCTCTTCTTCTTCTTCTTCATCCTCTTCTCATCTCTTCTTCTTCCTCATCCTCATCTCTTCTTCTCTTCTCTCTTCTTCTTCTTCTCATCATCTCTTCTTCTTCATCCTCATCCTCATCTTCTTCTCTTCTTCTTCTTCATCCTCATTCTTCTTCTTCTCCTCATCTTCTCTTCTTCATTCATTCTTCTTCTTCATCTTCTTCATCTCATCCTCATCTTCTTCTCATCCTCATCCTCTTCTCTTCTTCTTCTCATCATCCTCTTCTTCTTCTTCTCATCCTCATCCTCTCTTCTTCTTCTCCTCATCCTCTTCTCTTCTTCATCATCCTCTTCTTCTTCTTCTTCTTCTTCATCTCATCCTCTTCTTCTTCTTCTTCTTCTCATCATCCTCTTCCTCTTCTTCTTCATCCTCATCATCCTCATCCTCATCCATCATCCTCTTCTTCTTCTTCTTCATCCTCTTTTCTTCATCCTCATCCTCTTCTTCTTCTCATCCTCTTCTTCTTCTTCTTCCTCCTCATCCTCTTCTTCTTCATCTCTTCTTCATCATCTCTTCTTCTTCATCCTCATCCTCATCATTCTTCTTCTTCTTCTTCATCCTCTTCTCTTCTTTCTTCATCTCTCTTCTTCTTCTTCTTCCTCTTCTTCTCATCTCTTCTTCTTCATTCATCCTCTTCTTCTTCTTCATCCTCATCCTCTTCTTCTTCCTCATCCTCTTCTTCTTCTTCTTCTTCATCCTCATCCTCTTCTTCTTCTTCATCCTCATCCTCTTCTTCTTCATCTTCATCCTCTTCTTCTTCTTCATCTCTCTTCATCCTCATCCTTCTTCTTCTTCATCCTCATCCTCTTCTTCTTCTCATCCTCTTCTTCTTCTTCTTCATGCTCATCCCCCTCTTCTTCTTCTTCATCCTCATCCTCTTCTTCTTCATCCTCATCCTCTTCTTCTTCTTCTTCTTCTTCCTTCCTCATCCTCTTCTTTTTCATCCTCTTCTTCCTCTCTCTCTTCTTCTTCATCCTCTTCTTCATCCTCTTCCTCTTCTTCTTTTCTTCTTCCTCTTCTTCTTTTTGTCTTCCTCTTGCAGGTCGCTGCTCATGCGCAGATTTTTTATCGGCAAAAAATCGTCCGATTTACCCACTATTGCCGCGCGGGTGCTGTATGGCCTCCCATTGCTGCTGCCTCCACCGCCACACTGTGGCTCCACACTCTGGTTTTGGCCCCGTGACTGCCCAAATGAGTGAAGTGTGCGGTGATTCTAAGATCGACGGCACTCATCTGCATGTCATACTGACTGTCAGTATTATTTCTCTTCCCCAGCAGACTCCAAGGGCATTTAAATTAAAGGTACAGTGTTCTGCACTAATATAAAGGCTCTCTGAAGCCTAGAAACACCCTTTTATAAGTTAAATTCGCAGCGAATAAATTCGCATCGAATCGAATTTATTCCACAAATTCGGCGAATCAGCCGAATCAAATTTTTGAATAATTCGCTCATCTCTAATTAGATCCATCAGAATTTAGAGCCCGGAATTCAAATGTTGGAATTGTGTCCCTGGTGGTGGGTGTTTATTGGCTAGAATAGTTTTCTCACACCTTTATTTATAATGCTGACATTTTGACATTTGCTGTGTACAATGGTTGCACCATCTAAATCATTTTATGATCGTTATTTCTAGGTTCTGGGTTGCTTGCAAGATTCCAGATTGGACATCGAGTGGATGAGATATTTTCACAATCTACCTGACTCACTTACCTCACTCCTGATGCTGCTGACAACCGCCAATAATCCAGACGGTACGGCTTTATTCTTTCATGCACAAATCTGAGACCCGCAGAACTGAAAGCAAATGCTGCACAAAAAATAGATGACTGGAGTGTTAACTAGTGGATGTGTATTTCTTATTTCTGAAAGATAAAGATCTCGTGTAGGGCCAGTTCACACCACAAAACGCACTCTCCATGCATTCCCCATACGTTTTTGCTTACAGTTCACACACACACTCTGTTGTGGTGCAGTTTTGATGCAGTTTGCCATGTTCCAGTATGGTTCTGTGTAGAACAAAATGCAGCATTTTCTCTTTTTTTTCCTGCACCAGAAGCTGAAATAGTCTGTGGGATTTGCAGTGTGCATAGAACAGTGCGTATGATCACAACTAGTGCGCATGCTTGTTTCAAACAAACAAGTGGTGGGGGGGGGGGCATAGGTATGGGAGCTCATGGAGGATGTAACAAGGAAGCAGAAAAACACAGTAAGAAATTATTTCATAAAAAATAGATTATTACAGGGCTATGAACTAGAGGATGTGTTTTTGGATTTTTTCTGAATAATAAGGATATTGTTTGTTTAGTGTCACAAAATAAAAAACCGTCCTCCTCCTTCCCTTTATAGCCGGCCAATCCTCTCCTTTTTTGTTAGATGTTAAAAATGTGATACTAAGCTCTGTGTAAAAAAATGTGTTTTTACTGCTTCAAATCTCCATTTGTTTTTTGTGATTGGGCCGTGGGCTGTGTAGTGTGTGTAGAGCAGCGTACATGGCCATAACTAATATTCACTGCTATTTTCACATGAATAGAAGTCTGGGGGATAGGAGACATTCAGGAGTTAATGGCGGATGTCACAAGAAGGCAGATACACAGTAAGAAGCAATTTAATGGAAAATAGATTATGGGAGCATTAACTAGTGGATGTTTAATCTATAAATATATTTTTTTTTTTGCAAAATAAAGGTATCATTTAGTGTCACAAAAAAAAACAGGCTCCTCCCCTCCTTATAGCCGGCCAATCACGCTCCTTCCTTGCGAGATGTTAAAGTGACACTCCTGAGATGGGCTATGGGATTTGCAGTGTGCATAGAACAATGCACATGATCGCAACTAGTGTGCATGCTTGTTTCAAAGAAACAGGTGAGGAGGAAAAGCATAGGTGTGGGAGCTCATGAAGGATTGGGGGGGGAAAACCTCCTGCGCTCATCCTACTAAACTAAAAATAAGCTGCTACACCTGCACCTTATTACCGAAAGTGAAAAACCAAAATATAACAAAAAATAATAAGTGTAGCGCTCTGGTGAAAACTAACTAAATCTCAACATAAACAACATGTGACATAATGGTGGAACAAACAGTGAATCTTAATGAGAATGAATGCTAAAACAGTGCAACATCACACGATATTGTGCATATGGTGGAAATGACTAATATTAAGCCCCCTAATACAGGGAAATGTATTAAGCCCCTAATACAGGGGATATACCCTATAAAAAACAAGTCTGTGTATTGTTGTGGACACTGGTGGCACATTTTGTTTATATTACTTTCAGTGATGTGTTCATTTATATTCACTTGCTGTATATATATATATATTTTTTCTGATTACAGCAGTTTATTTATGGTATGAATAGAGTGTGTTGACACTGAGCACTTGTTTTATAGGGTATATCCCCTGTATTAGGGGGCTTAATATTAGTCATTTCCACCATATGCACAATATCGTGTGATGTTGCACTGTTTTAGCATTCATTCTCATTAAGATTCACGGTTTGTTCCACCATTATGTCACATGTTGTTTATGTTGAGATTTAGTTAGTTTTCACCAGAGCGCTACACTTATTGATTGTTATAGCTCATGAAGGATGTTACAAGGAAGCAGAAAAACACAGTAAGAAATGATTTTATGAAAAATAGATTATTACATTAACTAGCTGATGTGTATTGGATTTTTTTTCTGAATAAGGGTATATTGTTTAGTGTCACAAAAAAAATCTGGCCTCCTCCTTCCCCTTATAGCCAGCCAATCCTCTCCTTTTTTTTGTTAGATGTTAAAGAAGTGACACTAAACTTTGGTTTAAAAAATGTGTTGTTAACCCAAAAAGTTGTTTTTTTTTACTGCTTCAAATCCCAATTTTTGTTTTTTTTTTTGTGAGTGGGCTGTGCAGTGTATGTAGAGCAGTGTACATGGCCATAACTAATATTCATTGCTCTTTCCAAATAAACAGAAGTGAGGGGGATAGGAGACATTTGGGAGTTAATGGCGGATATCACAATGATACACAGTAAGACACAATTTCTTGAAAAATAGATTTTTTTTTTTTTTGTTAAATCAAGATATCATTTAGTTTCCCAAAAAAAAAATCTGGCCTCCTCCTCCCCTAATAGCCAGTCTATCACATTCTTTTCTTGCAAGATGTTAAAGTGGCACTCCAGTGTGCATAGAACAGGCGTATGATCACAACTAGTGTGCTCATTTCAAACAAACAAGTGGGGGGGAAGCATAGGTGTGGGAGCTCATGAAGGATGTTACAAGGAAGCAGAAAAACACAGTAATAAATTGTTTAATGAAAAATAGTTTATTACAGGGCCATTAATTAGTGGATGTGTACAATTATAAACAACAAATTCTCACACAGTCACAAAAATGTACTAAAAATATTCCCTTCTTGTGTCAAATACAAAACTATATATCAGAAAGCAGCTCACACTAACACATACTCATGATGTGCGTGGATTCTAATACATAAAACACACAGTGCCGCGCTCTCTTTTAGTATGTGAGAGCAAAAATGTTATAAAAAACAGTGAACATATGTGAAAAAAAGTCTCTAAGTATAAAGTTTTTCTTCAACTTGAAACAAACTTCACAATTTCATATCTTCATGCAATATAAATCCTCCACTACAAAAACTCCAGATGTGCCCTCACCAGGGGTTTTTGACCCTCACATATAGTTTGTTCAAAAAATGCTTGTGTTCCTTGAGGTGGACATAAATGGTCAGATGTATCCTGAAAATGGAATCTTCCTCCAAAGATTAACTACTTCAGCCCCAGCCACTGCATTAGTACGTTTGCAGGGCAGCACGGCTGGGCAAAACCACGTTTTAAAACGTGGTTTTGCAAACAGGTAGGGGGCGTGCGCGAGGCATGCGCCCACCCTGCCTGTCCCACGGGTGTCAGCAGCGGGTCTCCGCCGCCGGGTCACGGCCGGTCATTACTGGCCGTTTCCCCGCGATTAGCCCCGCGATTAGCGGTGATCGCTGACAGAGAGCAGGGCTGCATTGTTTATACACAGCCCTGCTATCTGTCAGTTGCCTGTCAGCTCCTGACAAGCTGAAGAGGGAGAGAAGAGTTTCTCTCTCCCGATCAGCCTGTCCCCGTCCAGCACACACCCCCGCCCCCTAGCAAAACACTCTCCTCACACAGTTAACCCTAAAAAATGTTAACCCCTTCCTCCCCAGTGCCATTAGTACAGTGTCAGTGGGTTTTTTTTTTTCACTGGTCAGTGACCCCAAGTCAGTTCCCCCCCAGTGTCAAAATGTCCGCCGCAGTCCTGCCATAAGTCGCTGATCGCCGCCATATGTCGCTAATCCCCGCCATTATTAGTATAAAAAAAAATTAAAAATCCCAGTATCTTTCCCGCCATTTGTAAACGCTATAACTTTCATGTAAACCAATTAATTTACACGTATTGGGATTTTTTTTTAGCAGAGACATGTCGCAGAATGCATTTTGGATGAAATTTGTGCCAAAATTTGTTTTTTTTTTTAATTTTTTTTACTGGACATGTTTTATAGCAAAAAGTCCAAAATATTGGGTTTTTTTTTCTCAAAATTGTCAGCCTTTTTTTTTTATAGTGTAAAAAATTTAAAATGCACAGGCGATCAAATACCACCGAAAGAAAGCTAAAATTTGTGGGAAAAAAAGGATGTAAATTTAATTTGGGTGCAGTGTTGCATGACCGCGCAATTGTCCGTTAAAGTAACGCAGCGCCGTAACACAAACCTCTTGTGTAACGCTTCCTGACCACCTTATAGTAGAAATACTGCTACAGGGCGGCATGGGTACGCAAAACCACATATATATATATATATATATATACGTGATTCGCGCTCCCGTGGTTTTTTCACACCCCTCCCAGATAGCGTCAGATTGCCCGTCAGTACACACCAGTCATCACATTTAACCCCTTGATTGCCATGAGCACGCTCATGTGCAATAAACCTCCATTGCTAGTATAGTGTCTGAACGGGTCTATATCTTTGATCAGGTCAGCACTATACCAGCGTTTACAAAAACGCAGCGTTAACGGGATCAGCCCCGGCACCTGCCAACACCTGCGTTTAGCCCCTACGCTTACCCCCCCTTCTCCCCCAGCAAGTGCAGTGTCAGTAGGTCACTGTCACTTGATACATTGCACACAAAACCGCAGTGTTCGCAGAATCAGGCCTGATCTCTGTTAGCACTTGCCGGTAAATTTTGATGACTCTCATATGCAGCAGAGTGCCAGTACTAGTGCCGCTCTACCTTTTGGTGAACTGTCGAGTACCAGCGGTCTAGTACATCCTGGTCTTTCACATATCTCCTTGATTTTTGGAGCT